GGGGGAGGGGGGGAGGGAAGGGGGGATTTAAAGTCCTTCCTAGGAAACAGGTCGGCAAAGCCTGCCAAAATTCACCATTACATCCCTCTGCCGTCAGGACATGCTGGGATGGATTTCCCCCAAGCATCTCCCGTAAAGAGGCAAACTCTCAAGCTGGGTTTGGTTCCCAGTAACTCCGCACACCAGGAAACCACCCTGCATCGCCAGCCAGGCTCTGGGATGTGGCGGCTTGCTCCCTGCTCAGTTACATCCCTCCCATGCCTCCGTCCCACTCCCGGGACACTGCAGTGAAACACATTCCTTGGGCTGCAGCGGGGCAGGGCCAGGCCTGGGACAAATGCCGTTCTCCATTTTGGGCATTTTCCTCCTCGCCCAGCGAGCGGGGTTGCTCTTGAAAGCAGGGCTCAGCCTTCGGGGTGGCTTTGCCCCCAGTAAGGGGGGGGGAAGAGCTGCAAAAAGGTGTCACACTCCTGTTCCTGGGGTGGGTTCTCAATAGGAGCAAAAGGGGAAGGAAATTGATAGCCAGCTGGGATGGGGCCCAGAAGCTGGGAATTTCCTCCTCATGGAACATGACTTGCTGTGGAACCCCAAATGCTGCAGGTAGAAGGAGGGAAACCAGAGAGAGGGGAGAGATGAAGTGCTGGACCACAGTGCGCTCCCTCTCCTGCATCTGTCCCTGGCTCCAGCGAGGAGAGAAAGGATGGCTGAGATTCATTAAATAAAGAGACAGGAAAACCTTGCTTAAGGAGCTGTCTGGGAAAGGGGCCATTTCAGGCCTGCTGTATGCAAGTGCCAGTGATTTGGGGCCAGAATAGTCAATTGCTAAATATTCCTCCGGGCTCCGCTGTGCAGGGAGCTGCTCTCAAGCGTACTAGTTACAGAGAGTTGTGGGGAGCTTAATGGTGCTTTTCTGCCTGGGACGGGAGACCAAGCTGGCTCCATCAGGAGATCGGAAGGAAAATGATCTCCAAAATTAGCAGTTTTCCTTCTCACACAGCGGCTCAGGGCACTGACCTGGCGGTGCAGCGAGGCCGGGACAGCTCCAGCTGGAGGGAGGGCATCGCATGTCCGCAGCCGTGTTGAATGATGTGGGCACACGCATCTCACCGTGCAGTGGGAACAGCGAGAGGGATGGAAGAGGGGCTTCTTGGTCCTCTTGGTCAATCCGCACCTGTCATAAACCAATAGGATGAAATGTGGGGAGAAGCAGGAGCAGTGGGGACAGCAGGAGATGCTGCTCTCGCCCACAGAGCCCTGTTGCTTAGTGCAGCGGGACAGAGGTTTGCACCACCAAGCTTCAGCACAACCACTGCTACGGAGGGAGACCAGGGGCTTCTGCCCCTGCCATTCCCCACACTTAGCTAGGAGCCAGCTCTGGAAGGGGGCAAAGGGAGCTCTGCTCTGGACCCCAACCACTGCTCCATGAGCATGCGCCCAGGCTGGCGGCGGGGACACCTCTCTGATCCTGACACAGAAAAACCAGGAGCCAGGGGTCCCATCCCTCCTCTCCCCTGCTTTGCTATGTTCCTCGCTGCTCTGGATTGAACCTTCAGCCCTAGAAAGTGTAAAAAACATGGATAAGAAATGTTGGTCGGTGCTCTCTGTACAAGCATCCTTCTCTGCGTACCACACGTACTCAGCAAAGGAGGACGCTGCAGTTTTGCCTCTGTGCTGGTGCCACCAGCACAGCACAGAAAAGCCACTGAGCTCAAGATAAACGCCCTGAAACAGATTAAATCAACCAGGAACACCTGATAATTAAACACCACAGGAACAACAGATACTCTTCCCCAAAAGGTTACAGTAAAGGTTGGGAAGGGAAGGAAGTGCTGCACTGGCATGCTGGCAGCAAATCAAAGCAAATGACATTAATTAAAGCATATGTTAGGAATAGGAAATTAAGCTAAAGCAACATTTCATCTACGGCATCTTCTCTGGGCACTTTAGAAAGGGTATAAGTTTACTGTAGAGAAAGAGAAATGAGGAGGCTGGTGCAGAGGATAGATGTGCGGGAAGTTAAAAGAATTAGAGGAGAGTTTTAAAAGCTTTAGACTATACACTCAAGGTCACGTTCACTCCCTGTATTTATTTTGAATTGTGAGTGAACAGGAGGACTGAGAGCGCTGGCTGGCACTGTGGGGAGCCTTGGGCTAACGCAGACCCCGGTGTCCTCGGCGAGGGGGCTCTGCACTCCTCCCTGCACGGCTGCGCCAGGCACAGATGGACCTTGGCACCTGTTTGCCCAGTTTTGCAAAAATACTCGTTCTTTCCAAATTTTGCTTTTCTCCAGCTCACTCAGCCCCAGAACTTACCAAAGCTCAGCACACCACCCTGGGCACCCAGGGACAGGGGCACCACTGTCCCTGCGCAGTGGGGAAACTGAGGCATGATGTGACTAACAGTTCTGAGCAAGCAGCAGGTGCGGGGCTGAGGGCATCGGCCGGGGCTGCACCCCAACCCTGTGGGGAAGCGCAAGTGGCCCCCCAGGCCCTCCCGGGCCAGGTCTGTCTCAGCCACGGGCCCTTCCTCCCGCTCCCGCCCTTGGGGCTGGCAGCGATGCTGCAGTCCCGACCCGTCGGGCACGTTTCTGGGGCTGTACTGACCCACCAGCCGCCAGCGTCATCCCAGGGCTGCCTGCCTGCCTCACCGTGTCGGGGCTGTGGACAGGGCCAGCCCATGGCCATTTCGCTGCTCCACGTGGCCTCCGAGCCAGCTCACTGTGAGCACCGGTGCATGCAGGTGCCTGACATCAAAGGGCATCAGTGACCCAGACGTCACTCATGGAGAGGGGTGACATCCCTGCTGCCCAAACTGTGCTGGGAGCTGTGAGGTGCAAACGGGACTGGAGCATGGCAGGCTTCCCGCCCCGGTGCCCCGAGCCATGCCCTGCTGCACACGCGCTCCTTGCCTTCCCTGCTGCATCCACCGTGCAGCTGGGGTGGCTGCAGCATGCACAAGGGAGCAACGGGCAGAGTCAATGCTTGAATAACGAGCTCCAAGTGAGAGAAATTGGGCAGCAGCCTGATCCTGGGCATGCTACTCCTGCACGCTGCTCTGCTCCCAAACTGGCTGCTATTTTTTCCCTGGAGCCATAAATTGCACGCCGGGGCCAGCAGTCCTCGCGCAGTCGCCCGCTGCCTCCCCACCGCGGGTGTCCCTGGGATGAGTTACGAGGAGCGAGCGCCGCAGCCAGGGCTTCGCTCCAGAGCTCCAACACGAGCGAGGCGGCACGGCTCCCTCCACATGCACGCGCCAGAGCCCTTTTCCTCCCATTCCCACCTGGGACCACGCTGCTGCCCCTGCAGGGTTCACCCCATGGGACCCCTCTGCTTCATGGCTTTCCAAGGAGGGCTGGCCACGGCAGCCACAGCGCGGTGTTTACCTAGGGCGAGCGGGCAGATGGCTTGCTGACAGCTTCAGGAACACCTTGTAGCAGTTGCGGTGATTCCCGAGATCCGTTGCTTCCCATTTCAATTCACACATCATGATTTCTAAACCTCAGCTTGTACCTTCCCAGCAGAGCTCCCCACCTCCTCCCCGGCCGCATGCGCTCACCACTGGCTCGGGAGCAACGGAGAAGGGGGACCCGTGGCAGCAGCAGCCATCCTGTCTCTGACACCGCCTCCTTCAATGGCCCAGGGTGAGTCCCTTAACTTGCCAAAGAAAGGGGTATAAGCAATACAGGAGCAACACTGGGGCTGGAAAGCACTTTGAGGATGTAAGGGGCTATCAAGTGCTTCTTAGGGAAGAATAATTCTCTTCCCATCACATTCTCCAGCTGAATGATCATTGCAACTGTATGGACTGAAAACAGGGGGTAGCAGGGCCTGAGGTGGGCACATGTGGGTGTCTCCTGCTCTCAGTGCACAGCATCTCTGCTTGCGATGAGCCCCTGCCATCAACTGCTGGGGACCAGCACCGAGCCATCCCTACCGGGCTGTGGGAGCCCCGTCTCCCCCAAAGGCAACTGGGACAAGCTCACAGCAGCAAAAATGGAGCCAGCACCAAGCTTGGCCATGACAGCTC